TTTCTGGCTTGATCTTAAAATTTCCACTAATATAATTTGTTATAAAATCATGCACGCTGGTTAAAGTTGGCAAGTAGGTTTTGCAGAATCTGGTGTTCACAGCACAGACTAAATGGAAATGATGCTGGGAATTTAAAACACTTTGTACAGTTCTGTGTTTGTGTATACTCTGTATTATGGTTTGAAATTAAGGAAATTTTTATGTTTAATTTGATAATCTTTTTTTTTTGAGTATGTGTAAGGATAATTTTATAAATAAAATTTTTTAGGAACAATATAAATAGACCAATGGACCATATCATATTGTCAAACAGCTGGACCTTGTCCAAAAAATGAACTTAAACATTCAGAAAACAGTTTTACACTAAAAGTTATACACTCAGTTTTACAGAAGATTTGTGCAGGTAAACCGTTTGGATAAAAAAAATATTTTTGATCTCTTGGTAATCTCTGGTAATCATTAATAAAGTTTTATGTTTTTGGCAAATATCTGTTATTAAATATCTAAAGTGTTTGTTGAATACCTCAGCGATATCAATACTGCTATACTTAAGTTGTTGTTGGCTTTTGGAGGATATATTTTTTTTAATTATGTAAATTTTTGATTGGGTAACTGAAAAACTTAATAGTTTGATTGTCTTTGTTATGATTGAGTTCTGCATTTTAGTAAACTTACACTTAGGTGCCTATCTAATATTTGCCTTTTTATGTATATCGGTCTTAGCATTGGACCATCTATTAATGCTTTGTTTTTAAAGGACTATATTAAAAATGCTTTGTAAAAATTTCATAATATTTTTAAATATTTGTATAAATGACTTCTTGAGTTATGTAATTGTTCGGATTGGAACAAAACAATCAATACCATTAAGAAGATGATCTGAAAAAATGTCCCATGTTTATTCTTCAGTTTTAAAAACATATGAAAACTCCTTGTCCCAACTTTTATTTGATAAGTAGAAAATAAAATCAATCAAATCAGTATTGTTAAAATCATAAAAAGATCCAGAGTTTTTTTAGGCTGGTAATATTTTAAAGTGTTTATATAAAAGTAGACTGATTTATGATCACTTGTACTAAATACACAGTCAACAGAAAGACAATTTAATATGAAAAACGATACTAGAAAAAAATCAAATCAAGAATATTGTTTTTATGGGTTCTATAATATATTGGTGCATTCCAGACTGGAATGCACCAATATATTAACTTTTTAACTTAAGTTAAAAAATGATTTTATTAAAACAATTGTATTTTTCATTTGGCGAGACATAATTAAACCAATCAACTTTCAGTAAATTAAAATCTTATACATTTGTATATTGCAATTTTAAATTTTCATTTTGATTGCTTTATAGTTTTTTACAGCTTTTTATATAAAAAAGAATTTCTGCATTTTCAAATATTGACTTATAAAAGTACCTGAATTTTTGCATTTTTAAATAACAAACAGCACGATTTCCATAAACAACGTAAGCATACTGTCTAAAAAAATTTAATAACTTTGATTAAGCTGTATTAAAATTCATTTCCAATACCAACATGTTAGAAACATGTTGAAAATAAAGTTAATGTTATAATTTTATTACTTATTGTAATTTAAATCTGAAATTTATTTATAAATAAATTTTTCTATTTATAAAAACTAAATAACTTTGAAACAAAATACAAATAACAAGTCCTCACTTTGAATTAAGAATTGATGTGTAGTTATCAATTGCTTTGGAGTACTCACATTGTGAGAAATAACTATTACCTTGCTGCTTGATTTTTGATAACCTCTAAATATAAACACTTTGTCAACATTTAACCTTCAAAAACAAAGACAAATATTAAATTTTAAAACTTATACCATAACATAAAAAAGTTTCAAAACAACACAAAAACCTCATCGATGGCAGTATCTGATTCATATAATTCCATTAATTTTTGGCCATTGTAGATAGCTTTTATGTAAAAACACACTAAATACATTTTTTAAACAATTGGTTAAATCTGGAATATTTAGATAAAACCAAACATTAGGTGAAAAAATACTATTACTAACATTAGAAAAATATTGTAATAAATACACTTTTTTTTTCAAATATAACATTAAAACTTGTAAGAACAAATTACAATTCATGAAAACAAAGTTAATCCAACAACATTAAAATTGTAATATTTTCATTATGACGTCTTATTTTTGATTATTTTTAATGACAAATTTTATATAACTGTTTAGATTGTTGTTATTATTTTTTTTATTTTTTACTTAATACTTGATATTATGATATAATTTTATACTTCAGCTTGTAGTTTTGTATAATTGGTACAACTGCTTGGTACAACAGATGAGTACTATTTTTCACAATTAATACAACCGCTTGGTACAACAGATGAGTACTATTTTTCACAATTTCATGTTAAACTACAAATGAGTAAGAAGAGCCAAAAAAATTCTTTTAAAAACTAAGAAAAAAAGTAAAATATTCATTGCATATGTTAACACGTATATAACACGAGTATAACACATATACAGCCAAAACTTATGTAAATGTTTTATACAAGTGTAAAGGGTGTTCATTTTTTGCGTACCTAAAATTAAGTCTAATTTTTTCACACATAAAATTAATAATGAAATGGTTTTTTTTTTTTTTTTTTTTTTGCTGAAATACGGAAAAGAAAAAAAATAGTAGCTATTAACAGGTTTTATATTAATTTTTTGTAATTTAACTTTATTTATTTATATTAATTATTAATATTTAATTAAATATTAATTTTTTATAATTCAGCACAATTTAAAAACAAACATCTTAAATATACTGTATTTAGAAGTAACTAATAAAATTATAACTAATAAGTAAGTCAAACAAAAATTGGATACTGACATATAGACTCTCCAATTCAGATCAACAACTTACACTTAAATTTAAATATTTTATTATTTAATTTAAAAATATATTAAATTTTTAAAACTATACATTGCCAAGCTGACAAGAAGAGTGCTGCATCTGACATAAAATTTATTTTGATTTTAAACAGTGATCTAAAAAAAAAAACTAAACTATAACAAAAGCTAAACAAAACAAATTTAACAACTTAAATTTTAAAAACTAAATTAATTGTTTCAGTAATCAAATCACTAATAACCAATCAAAATAATCAAAAAAATAATGACCAATCAAAATAATCAAAACAATGAACAATTAAAATAATCAAAACAATAACGACCAATCAAAATAATTATAACATAAATGAACAATCAAAATAATCAAAACAATGAACAACCTAAATAATCATAACAATGAACAACCAAAATAATCATAACAATACTGACAAATCAAAATAATCAAAACAATAATGACTAATCAAAATAATCAAAACAATGAACAATCAAAATAATCAAAACAATGAACAACCTAAATAATCATAACTTAAATGAACAATCAAAATAATCATAACATAAATGAACAATCAAAATAATCATAACATAAATGAACAATCAAAATAATCATAACTTAAATGAACAATCAAAATAATCATAACATAAATGAACAATCAAAATAATCATAACTTAAATGAACAATCAAAATAATCATAACATAAATGAACAATCAAAATATTCATAACTTAAATGAACAATCACAATAATCATAACATAAATGAACAATCAAAATAATCATAACTTAAATGAACAATCAAAATAATCATAACATAAATGAACAATCAAAATAATCATAACTTAAATGAACAATCAAAATAATCATAACATAAATGAACAATCAAAATAATCATAACTTAAATGAACAATCACAATAATCATAACATAAATGAACAATCAAAATAATCATAACATAAATGAACAATCAAAATAATCATAACATAAATGAACAATCAAAATAATCATAACATAAATGAACAATCAAAATAATCATAACTTAAATGAACAATCAAAATAATCATAACATAAATGAACAATCAAAATATTCATAACTTAAATGAACAATCACAATAATCATAACATAAATGAACAATCAAAATAATCATAACTTAAATGAACAATCAAAATAATCATAACATAAATGAACAATCAAAATAATCATAACTTAAATGAACAATCAAAATAATCATAACATAAATGAACAATCAAAATAATCATAACTTAAATGAACAATCACAATAATCATAACATAAATGAACAATCAAAATAATCATAACTTAAATGAACAATAAAAATAATCATAACATAAATGAACAATCAAAATAATCATAACTTAAATGAACAATCACAATAATCATAACATAAATGAACAATAAAAATAATCATAACATAAATGAACAATCAAAATAATCATAACATAAATGAACAATCAAAATAATCATAACTTAAATGAACAATCAAAATAATCATAACATAAATGAACAATCAAAATAATCATAACTTAAATGAACAATAAAAATAATCATAACATAAATGAACAATCAAAATAATCATAACTTAAATGAACAATCAAAATAATCATAACATAAATGAATAATCAAAATAATAAAAATAATAAGCATTTTTTATAATTAAAAAATTTAAATAATAATACACATAAATTTTGTAAGATACCTAACTGACTTGAACCATTTTTTATCTTGCACACAAGCCATTGCTTTTCTCAAATCATCGCTCTACAAATAAAATATGATTTTCAGAATATTTTTAAAATAACATATTCATTACAAATTTATCATCTTTACAACATTATGGTGTTAAAATGGTATCATGGACAACAATAATTATTAATTTTCTTGAGTTTTCTAAACAAAAAAAATAAATAACTTTTTTTTTATATTTATTTTTTTTATATTTATATTTTATAAGCACTTATGTGTAATAATATTATTTAGTAAACCAATAAAATTACTGAACAACAAGAACTAATATCATTCATGATGACTTCAAGAAATTTAATGTAGTAGGTGGACTTTTTTGAAAGAGAACTCTAAAAAAAATAAAAAAATAAAAAGTAAAATAATGTCTAATAATTTTAATTCTAAATTAAAAATAAAAAACAATGTTGTTTACTTAAATTCATTTGTGATATGTGCGTAAAACGTAACGTATATGTTTGTAGCATGTTTAACATTTGTGTAAAACTGTGTAATATATAAGTAATATATGAGTATAATATATGTAATATGTGAGTATAATATATGTGTGCAATGTATGTATGTATAGCATATAAACTGTGTGAAGTGTTTATATAAAATGAGGGCATAATATAAATGTAATACATACATATGCTCTAACTCTACTCAGATTTAGCTATTCTTTGAGATTAAAAAATAATTAGGAATAGGGTTATGAGCAGAGAATTACTTAGAATTAATTAATAAAAAGATTTGAGAAACATTGAGATGGTTTTAAAACAAATGAAAAAATATGAATAAAAATAAATCTTATGAAAAAAAACTTCCATCAAAAATAATTTTATTCAAAATGGATAAATCAAACATTCGTGAACTAGATAAATCTAAAATAGATTCATGGATTTTATAAATTGCTAGATGCAATTGTATGTAGCAATTTATGTTTTTCTTTTTATTATTTTGTTTTTGTTTTCTTTTATTATTATCATTTTTTATTGGTAATTTTTGTTAATCTTTTTACTTTCAATAACAAAAAATGTCTATTAAAAAATTGAAGAAAAAAAAAGATTATAATGAAATAGACAAAAAGAAAAATGGGAAGTTAAATATACTCTTACAAGTTTTTCTTGCAACTTTAACATTGCAGATTCAATGAGTTCAGTATAGACCAACTCTTGATCACTCAATTCATCAAGTTTACTAAAATATATGGAGTTAATATTTTAAAAATTGCAACAAATGGTGAACCAGTCATTTTTAATCTATTATTTCTAATATTGCAAATATTACTCAAGGGTCATTACATTTTAAAAATAGTAAAAAGTAAAAGTACTGGCTGTAAAAATAAAAAAATAAAAAAATAATGCTAAACCAAAATGTTTAAGAAAAAGTAAAAAAGTAAATCATATTAAAATTTTACGTTTCGCAAAAAGTGAATCCATCTAACATTAAAATACAAGAAATAAGTTTTTAAGTCGTCTTCAAATTATATATTTATTGAGTGGGGATTTACAACAGTTTTTCAAATGCTGCTGTTGAAAAGGTTAATTTGTTTTTATGTTTAATTACACTATTCTAGTGTAATTAAACATAAAAACTTGCCCAGCTACACTAAATAGAAGTTTGCAGGCAGCACTTGCTAGCAAAATAAGTGCTGCATTGTTATCTGAGTTGTTGCAAAGAAAAATCTGCATTTTCTTTCAAATTTATTATAGTTAGTAGCAGGTGTGCCATGTAAACAATTGTTTTACACTGCAATATATCTAAAACTTGAATAGGAGGTTTCATAACTTTATTTCCTTTATCAGTTATTGGCTTTGTTTCTTTTATCAGTTATCAGCAATGTACATATATATGTTCCACAGATATGTACATTGAACTCCACCTCATCTGTTTAGAAACAATAAAGTGCAGTCCAAATGAGTCATTAATTTCATAGCCAACAGTTGCAACATCATGAGTAGCTATTAAATTCGGTAGTATGCACAACACTGATGAGGGGGCAGGCAATATTCAAGATTTGATAGTGAATTAGTTTGAGTATAAATCTATTCAACACACACAAATGTCATTGCCCTTTATCATTAGTTTCAGGTTCTAAAGATGCATGTGCTGCATCAGGGCTACTAACTCTTGTGAATACAGGTTATGTACTCAGTTGTGGACAAGAAAGGCATGATTATTTTTAATTATGTTTTGGAATTACATTAAGGTTAAATAACTTGTTACGTTGATTTGACAAATTTCTAATTTATTTTCTTTATATTAGGAATTATAGCAAACAAATCTTTTTTTTCTTTTTTTTAATGTTTAAATAAAAATATTTATATGACTATTATTTATTTATGCATTTTTATATATTATTCAAAAAAAGAATAAACAAAAAAATAAAAAAGTAATAATAAGAATAATCTTAAATTAACATTAAAAAAAAATAAACTTTATTTAAATTTGATTATTTAAATAAAGTTTTTAAATAAACATTAAAAACTTTATTTAAATAATCAAAAAGTATTTTTAAAAAAAGTTTAATGAAATGCAGTCTTTTTCATTGTTGTTTATAAAATTAAGAATAGGAATCATTTTTAAAAAATTACATTTATCATTAAAAAAAAAATACTTTTTAAATAAATAAAAGTTTTATTTAATATTCTATGATAAATTATTAAAATTATAAAATTATAGCATTTTAAAACTTTATTTAAAAGCATTTAGCTTAGTGTAAACAAATTTTTTTAGAAATCTATGGATTTATTAAAAAAGTTTATTAAAACAATCATTTTTGTTGTTGTTTATAAAATTAATTGTTAAATTGTTTTAAAAACATTTACATTCATCGTAAAAAATACATTTTTTAACAATATAATATCTTATGATAATTTAAATAAATGTTTTTTATATTATACAATCTTTAAAAGCTATTTCTCACTTTATTACCTTATACTTTATTTAGCCCATTTTTGAAACATTTTTAAAAATCTAAAATGCTGTGGTTAAATTGTGCCAAAAAATAAATAAATGTATGGTCAGGAATAGAGTGTGATCGCACATCTTTCCTGTCCAAGAGTGTATGCTATATATGCAAAAGCTTGACCCATTATCAGCTGTAGTCTTTGTAGTTTTATCTTGATTGCCAAACTGTGAGTGGATCTTTTCTAGGATAGCTCCTAATACATTTTAGGTAGGTATGAGTTCTATCCAAGAATCAAAATTTCAATACTCCTGATTCCCTCTTTAATGCTGAAATTTTAATCCAGTGTACTACATCACCAACAAAGAGCTGACCAACAGTCAGTTGCAGTTGCAACTAAAAGTTTCTTTAACAGACTGGTAAGTTTCTAATGTATGATTTGGTATCATTCATCAACTTATATCAAGACTGTTTTTCAACAGGTGAGTGTTCAGTTTGGTGCTAGAGCAATTATCAGTTTTTTGAAATCAATCTTCTCAGTAGTGTTAAATGGCTGAGTTATATAATCAAGATGAGTTATATAATCAACAACAGATTCATTTAAAGTCTCTTGAGGTGCAACTTCAGAGTTTCTCACAAAGTTGATATTTTTATTGAACCTTAACTGGTTTAGGTTTACTGATCATTGTTCTTTTGCTTTCTGCTCCAATGAGTTTTTCATACTCCATTACTGTAGTCATGTGAATTTTCTAAAGAAATTCAAACTATAATTGTATCAACAATGACTTTAATACACCTTATAAAAGATACCATTAAATGATTAACTATGTCTACCGAAAATCCACTTCAATTCACATGCTTTAATGTTTCAGGATGTAGATGAAGTACAAGTATATGCTAAGATTTATGTAGGCTTTAACAAATATTTTACAAAGTTACTCAAAAACTTTAACAGATTAAAACATTGCATTTAAATGTGGCAAAGGAAATTCAAGTTTATTGATTTCAACAGCACAATGGATGTCGCCATTTTGATTACATCAAATGTAAACAAATAGTATAGCTGCATTTTTCATAAACATTTTTAATTAGTTTTCCAAAAAGACAGTAAATTTGCTTATTGTGTTGTGTGTTTAGGTATCTTGTGTGTTTAATATGCAGCCTTACATCGTGATGTATAGCTAGAAACTAACATTAAGCAGTTCGATTTTAGTTAGGTGATATTGTGTGTATTATACAATTTATTCAAACCATTAAAGTTTAAGCACTTTTGTATTTTTTTTCTGAAACATGTTACATAGTAAAAAAATAAACCTGAAATTTAATGAAAGTAAAAGTAAAAGTACTGGGTTATAAATGTAACTCATTACATACAGAAACAATGCAAAAAGTAACAAAGTATTGTAACAAAGTAAATGTATTTTATTCCACCCCAACCCTGCTATTATTTCATTAAAACAATATATTATTGCAGTTACCTAATTCTTTTTTGAGTTAACATTCCTGCACTTTTAGCCCACTCAATCCACTGAAAAATAATAAATTCTTTAACTGAACAAAATTAAATCTTTTATATTCTATAATCTTTTGATATCATAAACCAATGTAGTATGCATACAACATATGCATATATATAAGCAAGCCACATTGCAACATTTATTTACTTATAGTCAGGTTTTACTGACTAATGCTTGACAGCATGGGCACATCAGTAAAACCTATAATAAAATAACTGTAAGATAAACTAGTAAATAATTTTAAAATAATTATTAACTGTGCAAAGAACTTACACAATCATCTTGATGCACCTTACTAAACAAAAATGGAGACAAAAGATGAATCTTCATAAGATGGAAGTGTTTTTTGTGATCTTCTTTAATTTGCCACCAGTGATTGACACATTGTTTCCATTCTAATAAAAAAAACAAAAGTACAGAACAAAAATCTTATATTCTAAATGTAATATATATATATATATATATATATATATATATATATATATATATATATATATATATATATATATATATATATATATATATATATATATATATATATATATACATATATATATATATATATATATATATATATATATATATATATATATATATATATATATATATATATAAATATATATATATATATATATATATATATATATATATATATATATATATATATATATATATATATATATATATATATATATATATATATATATATATATATATATATACAACCCACGGAATTAAGGTCAGCATTTGGCAATGCCGACCTGAAAGTGTTTGAGGTCGGCAAAAAATTGCTGACCTTGTTTCTATTTTTTACGGTCAGACCTTTGTATCAAATAAATTTTTGCCAACCTGATGCCGACCTCTAAAATATTGAGGTCAGCAAATTATTGACGATCTCATTATTCCTAATTCCGAGGGTTGATATATATATATATATATATATATATATATATATATATATATATATATATATATATATATATATATATATATATATATATATATATGTATATATATATATATATATATATATATATATATATATACATATATATGCACAAAAGTTTAATTGAGATGGTGATTTCAACCAAACTTTCCAGGGTTTTTTCAACTAAAAAAAATCAGGAAAATGAATTTAATTAATTTTTTTTTTCAAAAGAACAATCAATTAGTTATACAATTAACATTTAATTAAGGTTTAGAACATAAAACTTAAAAAATTAAATATTTAAAGTGTCCTCCTTTGACTCAATAGCAAAAAAGAACTCATCTCTGCATTAATTCGACCAATTTTATACACATCTCATGTGGCACCTTTAATCAATAATTGTTCAGAAGTTGTTTCAAATGCTCAGTTGATTAAATTTGATGGTTTACCAACTGAGTGTCAATCTTACACCAACTTTTTGTTTTGCTTGTAAATAGCGTTTGCAATACTTCTCAGTTGCAAATCTTTTAACATATATTCTTCCTTTGCAGTTATCACAATCTTCAACCGCCCAATACAAACAGTCTTTGCAGCATTTTCATCTTTCAGTACCAATGCACGATTGACAAAATAGGCTTTCTTATTGCAAAGTAAGACCCAATACCTTTTTTTGTTAATGTTCTTCTAACAAGTTCTCTGCTTACATTTCGATTAGAAAAAAATTAGTTTAATATTTGAACTTTTTCTTGCTGAGCCTAGGATTTTCTGAACAACTTTGGGTTAAAATAAAATAACCATCAGAAAAATTTCTAGTAAAATGTATTTATCGCCCTGAGAGGAATTTGCCAACTGCTTCAGTACAATTAAATGAAATAATTTGTGCTCTTGATTACGCTAGATACTTAGTTAATACAATAGTATATAATGGCTTAATTGTGACAGGTTACTTCAACTTTCCAGGCATAACTTGGCAATCTGACTGGAGTATCACATCTGATAATGAAAATAGTCTTGAATACAGGTTCAATGATGCTCTATGTAACAACCACCTCTACCAACTTGTCAAATGTTCAACTTTAAAGAAAACTGATGGAAATCTAAACAACACACTTGATCTAATTATATCAGAATAAAAGAACCAACAAAGTTTTAACAGGACCTTGTCTTTGTAAAGCTTCACAAGGGCATATATCTCTTAGCTGGCAGCACAACTTAACCAGCAGTAATCAAAATAGTTTTAACAGCAAAAAAAAATTTTATATCACGATCACGATCACGATGCTCAAGAATGTTATTCCATATGTTCTAACTTCTATAATGAAGCGTGCCATAAGTTTATTTCAAAGGCATCAACTAATACTGCTAAAAAAAGCAGCCCTGGATCACAAACAAGTTAATGAAGCTAATTAGATTAAAAAAAAGAACTCAGGTACAAAAATGCAAACTCAAAGTGGATAAATGCAGCGTACATCAAGAAGTATACAAATGTCAAAAGGATTATGTGTCTATGGATCAAAGCTAGCTAACAACAAGTACAATCCAAAAAGACTATATGCATATATTATTAGTAAATGGATAGTGGGCAATCAAATATCGGCCTTAACCTCAAATTCAAATCAAATGAGCAGTTGTGGAATAACAAATGCAAACCTTCTCAACAACTCTATTTTAATTAGTTTTTACAAAGCAACCACTAACTCAGCCACTAAAACTGTTTGCAGCCAAAACAAATGTTCGGATATAACAATTGACTAAAATATTGTTCTCAAACACCTAAAAAGGTTTTGTAGAAATAAGTCAATGGGCAATGATAACATTAGTTTATTTGTTTTAAAAGCATGTGCAACACCAATGGCAGTTCTGCTAACTTTGATTTTTCAACTTTCAATAAAATCTGGAAAGTATCTATCATCTTGACTCAAAGCTAATGTTACACCTATTAATAAAAAAGATACAAAACAGATCCAGTCAATTACATGCCAATATTGCTCACTTTGATCCATGCAAACTTATGAAAAAAATAGTTAGACAAGTCATAATCAATCATTTGGTAAACAACAAACTGCTTTTCAAAACTCAGCATGGTTTTATTTTAAAAAAGACTTCACATCACAAATCTTTTAGAAACAATGGACTTATTGATTCACAGCAAATCAAAGAAAATACCAGTTGACCTAATTTTTTTTGACTCTGCATTCAATAAAGCATGTAAGACTGCTGCAAAAGCTTGAAATGTATGGTATAAATGGCAATCTTCTATATTGGATAAAAGCCTTCTTAACAAACCGCAAGCAGTATGTTATACTTAGGGATTCAAAATCTGACTGGATTGATGCAGAGTTGTTAATCCTTGGCCTTGCGTTAAGCCAAAAAATTGAGGCCTTGGCCATAAAACTGTTGACCTTGGCCTTGAATGTTTTAACCTTGGCCTTGATTGTTTTGGCCTTGACGTAAAAAAAAAATATTTTCTTATTGATTTCATTGACTGAGCAAGTTTACAATCCAATCTAGACAAGATTGTTAAATAGATTCAAACCTGGCTAATGGAGTTAAATATAAAAAAATATAAAGTTATGCATGTTAACTCTGGAACAATGAAATTTGATTTCATTATGGATAAAATCAAAAATGATAGCACAACCAGTAGAGTAGTTTTAGAAGTCACAAATTCTGAAAAAGATCTCAGAATTCTAATCTCTGAGAATCTTAAATATGGTCAACAGTGCAATATAGCTGTAAACAAAGCAAATAATATGCTCGGACTTCTTAAACACACGTTTGCATCAAGAGTCATTGACATTTGAATTTATACTGCATATATTAGACCACATCTCGATTTTGCCATACAAGCTTGGAACCCTTACCTTAATAGTGAAAGAAAAAAAATTGAAAAGATACAACACAATGCCACAAAAGTTCCTTATGTTTTGAAAAATAAAGACTACAAAAGAGGCAATCTAATTCAACAATATAAGCTTTCCTGCAATTTAAACCTTATTAATTGGCATGTAAAGCCTTGCAGCATAGCACACAGAGCTCAACAGAGCTCAATCTTGATTAAACTATTGTGTATAGCTATAAATATATTGTGTATATATGTATAGTGTATAGTGTATATATATATATATATATATATATATATATATATATATATATATATATATATATATATATATATATATACATATATATATATATATATATATATATATATATATATATATATATATATATATATATATATATATATATATATATATATTTATATATATATATATATATATATATATATATATATATATATATATATATATATATATATATATATATATATATATATATATATATATACATATATATATATATGTTTATTATTTTTTTAACATATTCTTATATAATGTCATTTGAGGCATTTTTGTAAAAGTACTTAATAGCAAAATAAAATTTACTATTCTGGATAATTTGACTAAAAAAATTGTTTTGGATAAATAATTTTAAATATTTTTATTTTTAATTTTTTACTATGTTTAATATGTTTATAAAGTTTAAAGAATACATAAATTGTTTTCTTCTTATATTTTTGAAATTAATTTCTACTGATACTACATAGTATTTAATAACAATAAAACATAAAACAATTTTAATTTGAGAAAAAAAAAGGAAAATATTAAGAAGTGTTTGACAGGGCTCCCACTATAAAAACTAAGGCTAAAATTAAGGATTTTAAGGAGATTTAAGGAGATATTTCCCTAATATTTAAGGAGATTTGGTCGCAAATGACATTTTTTTGAAAGAAAAAGTAAGGATCCGTGTCGATCCCCACCACGTCCCTGGTAGTACCGCGCTCAACTCGTTTCTCCGCGCAGCGGCCTTGTTCGTCAAGGTTCGTGTTTCGGAGTTATAGAGTTGACAGAGGGTTATAGCCACAAAATAAGTAGCCTCTTTGTCTGTAGTGGCCTTCTCGACCTTGAGGAGGTGAAGTAAAATAAAAAAATAAAAAAAATTAAGGAGAAAATGATTACATTAAAAACGTTATCTTATTTTTTTCAATAAACTTTAAATATAAACAGAGAAATTATTATTTTTATATATATATATATATATATATATATATATATATATATATATATATATATATATATATATATATATATATCATATAAAACTATCAAAAATTTATATATTATCTTCTTTATCAACAAGAATAATCCATTCACTTTAAAAAAATTTTCTAGATAAATATAAAAAAATAATAATGAGAAATTAAGGAGAGCAGTCAAATTTTAACTTTTTTTAAGGTTATTTAAGGACATTTAAGGAGCTTTTTATTTTTTAAGAATATTTAAGGTTTTTAAGGAGGTGTGGGAACCCTATTTGATTAAAATTATTGAAGTAAAAAGTATAAAAGATTGTTTTGCAGAGGATTTGCATATAAATAATTTTATTGGGAGAATTCAAATTTTGAGTAAAAAGTTAAATAAATTTTTTAACAGGAGCATAAAAAAACATCACTTAAAATCATGTTCAATTTAAAATATCTTGAAAATTTATTTTTAAAAAAATTTTAATGTATTGGATGAAGCGCAATAAAAATTCCTTAATTTAGTCAATTTGTTTTATTATAACATTTTATTTTTTAAACGTCCATATATACACATCAGTTTGTCTTTAGCTATTGATGAAAACATCTTAAACTTCGAAAAAATGACCTCAAATAATTTATATAAAACTATGCTTTTATAAATATGTATTTAAAAAAGTAAATTACGTGTTGTTTTTAATGATGCTTTTATCACAGCTTTATTATTAGGAGTCATTATAATCTAAAAAAATTGAAAAAAAGACATATTTATATGCAAACCAGCCTATACAAATTTTTAAATAATGAAAACTTTTATGTCGTTAAAAAAAAAAATTTTCCTTTCACCATTATATATTTACACGATCCCAATAGAATTTAAATTCTATCAAACACCGCTTTACTTATCACATCCGGTGTCATCCGTGGTGGTTGCAAGGATAAATGTCGTAAACTATTCCTTTTTTTAATTTATTTCCCTAACTGAAGAATACATATTGAATAAAGTTTGCTGCAATAAAAATAAATATATTAATAAATGGTTTTTGTTAATAAGTTTATTATCCCATTTTGAAAATCTTAAATTAATAATACCTAAACAACGCGCAATGCTTTTGCCCAAATTGAAAAATATTGACAAAACCGGTTTTCTACGAAAAAACCGTGTCATGATAGAGCCGAAAATATTTATCCTCGAAAATATCACCGAAATATTTTACAACCGAATATTTTAGAACCGAAAACTTTACTTTCATTGCAGGATCGAATTACAAAATCCTTTCTTGCGCCGAAAGTTTTAAAACCGTATTTTACAACCGAAAAAACTTTGATCGAATTACAAAATCCTTTCTTTTTTTAATTTATTATTATTTTTTTCAGTTTACAGTTTCAGTTTTTTTCAGTTTACAAACTGAAACTAACTTTGTTAGTCGTTTTACAATAAAATAAACAAATAAAATTTCTTTAAAATATATATATATATATATTTTAAAGAAATTTATACATCTTATATATATATATATATACATATATATATATATATATATATATATATATATATATATATATATATATATATATATATATATATATATATATATACTCTTGCATGGTAGTTAAAAAGAGTTTCCCATAAACTGTAGTTTTAAAGAGCGCGTTAATAAACCAGACCAGAAAAAGTTTAAAAACTTAAATTTTATATATATATATATATATATATATATATATATATATATATATATATATATATATATACTATAAGGATATATACATATACATATACATATATATATATAAATATATATATATATATATATATATATATATATATATATATATATATATATATATATATATATATATATATACAAGACCGGCACGATAGGGGGTGTGGGGGGGGTGTGACACCACCACCCCCCACTCCCCATCAATGATTTTTAGTGGGCAAACTGGACCCTTAGTCGGCAAATCGGACCCTTTTCGACTAGTTAGTCGGCAAATGTGGACTCTTTCGATATAGGTTAGACAATTTCGGGAAACGAGGACCTTTTTTTTTTTTTTTTAGTCGGCAAAAGTTGTAATGGCACCCCCCTACGTGACACCTACTCGCGCCGGCCCTGTATATATATATATATATATATATATATATATATATATATATATATATATACAATGTTTGATAACAGTGTAAATTAGGTTTCCGATAGAGGATCATTAAGATCTTATCATCGGAACCTTAAAAACATTAACAAACAAATTAATTTACGAATACCTTCTAAAGTATACGTTACAATAAAGTAGAATATTGATAAAGAGTTTTTTACATAAGCAAAACTTTAAACAATATAAGCAACAAATATATATGTAAAAACAATGTAAATAGTTGTAAACAACAAAACTTTAGAGAAAAATAATAATAATAAAATAAAGTTATATAATAGATAAATTAATTAGTAGTACTCTAAAATGATAAAGTGGGAAAAAAATTGATTTTTAATTTTGTTTTTAAAAAGACAAAAAGAATTTGTTCAACATTTGGTAAAAAAAGTTTATTCCACAGATGCAGTGCACGATAGGCAAGACAAAACTAATTTAAATTGATTTTACAAGAAGGTTCGTTAAAAAAAAACTTTAAAAGAGTATTTGGGCGCCGTTAGACCGTTCTAGGGGGCGTGGGGGGCAGCTCCCCCCCACGCCCTATACTAAATCCGCCACTGGTTCGAGCTTTGTGTAAAACTCCAATGTTTATAGAGACTTTAGTGCATACATAGTTAATATGCTGATTCCAATTAATGTTCTTATCGAGATAAACACCTAAGAATTTAATAACGGAGTCTCTTTTTATTTCAATTTCATCAATAAAAATTTGAGAAATTTTTGATTTTGAAAAATTATTTCCCTAAGCGAATGAAAGAGAGTCCATTTAGTTTTGTCAGTATTTAATTTTAATTTATTGGATTTAAACCAGTGGGATAAAAGTTTAAGTTCTTTATTTACGGTGGCAAAAAGTTCGCTAATGTCACTTTTAGAGATGAATAAATTACTATCATCAGCAAATATGATGCTCATCAGATTAGTTACTTTATTTAGATCGTTTATATAACTTAAAAAAGGAGGGGTCCAAGGATTGAACTTTGTGGAACTCCACAGGTCATACTTAAACAATTGTTGTGATAATTGTCAATACCAACAACAAATTGTTTTCTGTTTGTTAAGTAACTTCTGAACCACTTTAACACTTGCTTATTTACTCCATAGTATTTCCGTTTTTCGAGTAGAAAGGCTGTTGATAAAAATACCTGATGTATATTTTGACTGTTCAAAAGAATTTGAAATTTCATCTTAGATAATTGCATGCTCTGTTGAGCTATCCTTTTTAAAACCAAATTAATTAACATAGAGTAGGTTATTTTTGTCAAGGTGTTTTTATATTTACTGTTGCACATAACTCTTATGAGAGTTATGTGTAACAGAATATTTAAACTGGATTTTTGAAAATACAAAGAGCACAAAGATTGGGCTATAATTAGTTATTCGGGATTGTTCACCTTCTTTATAGATAAATATAACTTTGACAATTTTTAATTGTTCTGAAAAAATTCCTTGTTTAATTGAGGCATTGAAAACTTTGAAAAGGACATTTTTTTGTTGCTCAAAGCAATCTATAATCACATTTCTATTTATTTTGTCTGGTCCACATGACTTTTTTTAAAAATAGATTTCAACGCCTTTTCAAGTTCTTCAATTGATAAATCAGATGATAGCTCATCAGAGAATATGTACTTATCCAAGGGTAATAAGAAATCACTAAATAAAGTTCTGGTAATAGGAATCTTCTTTGATAATTTAGGACTTATTTAAGTAAAAAATTTATTAAATTCATGTGATATAGCGTTTTGTTCAAATTTAAAAAACTTATTTTAATTTGATTTTTAAAAGATAGTTTTTGTTAACACTAAAACTAATTTAAATCAGCACAATTAACTTTATAGACAGTAGGGGAGACCGGTGCTAGTTGGCTGCAGGACTAAGTTTTATTTATAAAGGTCAAAAAATTTTATTTATATTTGTGACACTTTCAATGACTAATTTACACGAACAATAATGGATACGTAATTGGAAACATGAGTTAATTTGAGTATGCATTATAATTAGCTTTTGCATTTTTAAAATTAAAATTGTCATTAACTTGGAAACATTAAGTGTTTTTTTTTTTTTAGTTTACATGTCTGCTTTAGGGGGCGCCTATTTTCAGAATTGCCTCGGGCGCCCGAAATTCTAGCTACGCCACTGCACAGTGGAAACATTCAGTGGGAACTTTGTGCCACTATCAATTTTTTTTTTTTACGGATTCCCGTTTTAGTTTAGATACGGTTTTAGTTTTTTTAACAGAAAAAAAATAAAGAATTCTATTTTGAAAATTTAAAAAAATATTATGTTCATAGGCCAAGTCAATAAAAAAAAAGACATTGCCTTTACTTAGTAATTGGTCAGCTTTACGTGAATAAAACATGACCAAATTTGGATAGATTTTTATTCTTGTAAAACTAAGCAATTATTTGGCGTTTTTGAAGTAAACATGCTGGTAAACAAACAAGTAAACAGACATGCCTAAACTAATGTCCAAATCAAACCTAACTCATGACTTAACTAATGTCCAAATCAAACCAAACTCATGCCATGATCCAAAAATTATAAACGGAATTTTCAAAGGTTTTGTTCATAGGGCATTATATTTATGTTCTGATAATAATATTGAACAAGAGTTATTATTTCTGGTTGATGTTTTTGTAGAAAATGGTTATAAAAAAACAAACCTGGAACATATTATAAAAACCACTAAAGAAAATTTACATAAAAACAAAATATTGAAACTCAACATTCATCAATTGCATCAAAAAATATTGTATCTTTACCGTGGGTTCCAGGAATTAGCCCGAAGTTAAAACAAGCATTCAAAAAAGCAGGTTATACACCAGTTTTTAAATCTCCAAAAAGTTTACAACATATACTTACCACAAAAAATAAACCTCCTCTTCCTATAAATTCTTACCCAGGTGTGTACAAACTTGAATGCTCTTGCAAAAAATGTTATATCGGTGAAACAAAATTAAAAATCTCATCTCGCATTTACCAACATCAAAAAAATACATACGAAGAAAATTGGGATTACTCAGCCATAGCGGAGCATTCAAAAAATTGTCATGGCAACTTTACATGGAACAATAAAAATACCTTAAAAGTAGAGGTTAATAATTTTAACAGAAAAGTGAGGGAAGCGCTATATATTCATAAGTACAATAGAAAATAAAGTTTCAATACATATTGGTATACTATTCAAAGCCAAGGAGTTTTTAAACCAAAACTGCCTAAAAATTTTATATTTCTCCCTCATACGTTGTTATATTAACTATGCAAACATTGCCTGGTGCAGCTCTAATATAAGTAAAACTAAAAAACTGCTTAGTAAACAAAAACATGCTGTCAGAATTATTTCAAATGCAGGTCGATTCACAATAAAGAACTATTTAATAATCTTCACATACTCAATGTTTTTCAGTTAAACCTTTATCAAATTCTTATTTTTATGTACAAACTTCATAATAAAATATCACCTATAATATTTAATACACTTTTCAATAAAATTAATCACATGTACCCTACAAGATTTTCTAAGTACAATTATGAGCAACCTAAAATGCATTATTTGGCTACCAAATTTTCTATTGCTATAAGAGGTCCTAAATTATGGAACGCTTTATTAAGTGACGAGCTGAAAAATTGTTCTTCTCTTTACCTATTCAAAAAAAAAATTGAAACAAAAACTTATTAACGATGTTAATGAACTAGATTCTTTTTAAAAATTTTTTATTTTTATTTTTTCTTTATTTTTAGGAATTATCTTATTAACTTTTTATCTTATTAAGCAGCCGTGGCGCAGTGGTA